AGTCTTACACAGAGTTGACAAGGTAGTGACCGGTATTCACGTGACTATAGTTTAAGATTTGATGTGCTGAAAAGCGCTTACGAGTCTGGCCTAAGGGTTATTTGCTCCGGGTATGTGGCAATAGAATGTTAATTTGCCGCGTCAGTGGGCGTCGCGCTCTACGTCGCGTCTGCCAAAAGGGTTTTGGGTGGTATTGGTTGAGAATAGACAATGTATGACAAAACCATGTTTACTTCTACATGGAATTCGATCTTCAATAGGTAGTGCAAATCAAGGGAAAGTCGCGCCAATTGCCGCGCGCGACGGAGCGACAATTTACGATTCTCTTGCCGTCTCCCATTCGCGCCTGGGCGAGTTCCGCAAGTTCGTATAACCATTGTCGCCACTTACTGCGATAGGCGTAAGGCAAGCGGGGTACAGTGAGTGACATAGAACGATAGTGAATGGCATCTATGCATTGAGGCAACTATGGCTGGAACACTTAACAGATCGCTTAGACGTGCATTACACCTAAAAGATTACCTTTACAGTAATTATTTGAAAATTTTACAGTATTTAAACTTTAAACTTAGTAATTTTACAGTAATTATACTTGTCATCTCGCATAATTTATTGTTTGCTGGCTAGGATAAATGGCTAAATTGTATAATAAAAAGATGAGGTCTTTGCCCAGTGGATGAGATAAAAGATGAGGTCTTCGCCATCTGTCGCCAATCTGTTTACCGATTCAGCATTCCTGGACTAGAGAGGTTGCTTGGCCTCGGCGGGAGCCGAGAGGATTTGATTCCCGTAGCACGCGGTAAGCGTGCCACTTACCACTACACCCCTTCGCCTCACATTTGAGTAACTTAAAGAAAAGGGGGCGGATACTTGTGCAATAAAGTGGGAACAATAGGACGAAGATCTGGTGATTAAAGAGGGTGAATAATAAGTCCATAACCCAGATTGCTTAATTTTCTTGATTGCTCTGGAGAAAAAAAAAGGCCAGAAATATTCCCGCCTCTGTGCTCAGAGAATGCTGACATAGAGCGGCACAATGTCGAAAAGAAATCCGGTCACGAAGCACATGGCGCCGTTACAGGAAGCGGTCAACAGGTCAGCCGGCATATAAAATGAGATGCACTATTCCTCCTCACATTTCGTGTCGAGGCGTGCAACTCTCGAAACTATCTTTGCGCAAAATTTGTCATGGAATCGCTCTCTGAGCGGAGTGATGGAGATTTATTCTTTCACTGTTTTTTTCTTCCAGTGCGCCCATGCTCGGCGCCGCTCGAAGCGTTCGGCACGTTGCTAGTTCGGACTCGCCAGCACTCTGACTTGTCCCGATTATAGTCTCATTTCGTGCTTTCAGGGGGTTCGAATAAACGTCCTCAAGACTGTTCATTTTAGGCGAAAATCTGAGGGTCGTGACTCAACTTCGGAAAAAAAGTGGGATGCATAGCATTCGGCGTACTGATAGCCAAAGCATATAACCGACTAGCACACTGGTGATAAACTGGTCTTCGAAATGAAATAACCTTAAGTCAGTGTCTTCCTCGCAAACACACACGTACGCTTACTCTTTGCTCGTGCATCATTTTACTGGATTACCGCTATGGAATTCAATCCGGGAGACCAGTCATCGATGGTAGGTGAGCTCGTAACTGCCGCATTACCCATGGACTAACTCACATTTTCCAAGTTAGGTCGAAATATCGGATTGGGCTAGGACTTGTTCCAGAAGTTAACTTTGACCCCGCTGAACATGTATTATCTATGTATTTAATATTTGCAAACCCTTGCCCCGACATGTACTACAGGGGGGGGGCAAGCACAAGCACTCTTCCAGGCCACAATGGGTCTACATTTTTGAAAAAAACTGGTCGCAGTTTCCTCACAGGATAGTGCATATGAGCAGAGGTGTGTTAGAAGGCTTTGTCGGCCATTCTTTCCCCCAGCTCTCCCTCGCACACAACAAATGCTTGCCGAGAAGCATCCGCCTACAGCTCTCGCTAGTGTACAATTCAACTCGCTACCCACTGCGCTCTCTGCCACGTTCAAGTCCGAGACCATATGTCATGTGCTACCAGCGCTTCATTTTCTCGCGATCAGCATGTGAACGGACCACGCGGCGGATAAAGCCCTCCTCAATCGCATTCAGTAGATCGTTCCGCAACATTCTGAAGGTAGATTCGAGCCTTTCACATCCGAATTCACTGAGTGCAACTGCCGTATACGGTGTGACCTCATTGAAATGGGCGGGCTGACCTCGGTGGACCTTTCTCCGGGTAGGTATTCGGCTTCATTGACGCAAAAGAACTTTCAAAAGGATAAGAAATCAGAGATTTTGTTTTTTGATTAAATTCCATTCAAACCAAACTAAATAATATTTTACGATTAAGAATTTATCGATAATGTTATCATGTCCCGTGCCATATTTCCATAACGTCTTCTAGGATTATGGAATGATTATTCAATCGGATTATGGGCAATTCTCCATCAAACGAAGTTCGCCGCAATAGAACTCCTCCAGGAACGCAAACTGACTATCACGATATCACCTGGTCTTCATTTTTAGAATTAATCAAAGAGCTGAATAGGAAATGTTTCCGAGTACGAAACGAAAAAGGAGATTATATTTGTTTTGCACTTGATCGGACATGTGCAGATGAAATTCTCTGGAAGAAGAAGGTACGAATCAAATGCTTTACCGTCAGTTTAGACTCACTTCAAGTAACATCGAGTAAAATTCTGAAATTGGAAGAATTTCTCAATGTGTATAATGTTCACAAAGATGCTATTCAAGATAATTCTGCTCAAAATGTCATGTGCTCTAGTAGATACGTTCTAAATGAGACAGCTGATAGTGATGGACAATGTTGTATATGTATGGATAATAATACTGAGGTGCTTCTTCCTTGCTTGCATTCGTTCTGTATGGCTTGTGTCGCTCAGGAATTAGAATTTCGACCACAGTTCAGTTGTCCTATTTGTAAAACGCGTATTGAGCATCCTATAGAGAATTCGTGGGAAGTCGCGGATCCCCCAGAGCCTTCAGATATTGTCTCTTATCTCAGCAAACTTTCTGGGAGTTGAATGGTTTTAATTGTATTGTTTTTGTTTCGGAAATGGATATGCTCGAGTAGCCTCCTCTAGTCCATGAATTTTTGTGACCATGATGACCTTCTATACATATCTTTTCTCTAAAGTTGTGTTTCGAGAGCGAATAAAATGCTGGTTTAATTTTTGTTGTTCTCATTCATAGTGTACCCTAATTCCCAGGATCGTTGAAGTAATTATTTTATATCCTACAAATTAACTCTCTAGTACAAACAGAGACGACATTTTGAGGATAGGTGATGACGAGGGGTAATATTGATGCTGATTGTTTTGATAGAATTACTATAAAATTGAACTTCTGCTATTCTGCTTTCGTGATCTCTGTGAAAGCGTTCATACTTGCCGATCTGATTCTGCGTGCGATCTGGCCGCCCCGATCCTATCTGGCACATGTCTCCTAGCGGTGATTTTTTTTGCTGCCACTTTTCTTGCACCCTTTAAAAAGGAAGAAAAAAACGAGCAAAGCGCTCACCCCTATCGTTAACAGGGAATATCCATCAAGGATTTTAGAGGAAATGGAAGAAAATCCACGTTTTACTGGCCCTCATTTCGCGGATTGATGTTTCTCAGAAGCCTGGCCATGAACCCCTTCCACTCAATCCATATTCAGTCAAGTCTTACGTCGTGATTGTTCTCTCGGCAGACTAGAATTTATTTAGGAGTAGCGCAAGAAAAGCGCAAGCGGAATCCAGCCTTTTTTCCAAAAGGTTGATTATTCTCTTATACCACGTTAAACTCGTTGGAAACATGAGCCATGCTATGGGTTCGCAGAAAGTGGAGATCTGGGGAGTTTGGAGAATATCGGTTGCGGCATAAACGCGCACCAAAGACGAATGTATGTATCGATCTGAAGGAAAATCCACTGAATTTAGATGGAAAGTAAGGTATAGCAGGGCGCCCAACTAGGCGGAGAAAACCGACATTATTTTATATCGACGTATATGTATCAATATTAGCCTTCGCCGTGGTAGGCCTTGTTGGCGACCGGGCAGTGCCGATCCGGGTTAACGTGCCATTGCCACTATACCACTCACAGTTCGGTAATAGAGCGGATCAGCGGTTGGAAGAACCGCTGTTTAGGAAAACCCGAGGTTCACACATGAGAATGGTATCAAAGGGAATTATAATGCGTTCAAAATAGCGAGCGCACTGCGGCGTTAAACAGCAGTTATCAAAACTAAAACAACTTTTATAACATGTAAAAAGCCTTCAGCCTCGCGGTTTACTGCCGATATCGGCTAAGCGGCTCATCACGTTGAACGTGTGAGTGCTGTAAGGCTATGTGGCTCAAAAATGTAATTGAGCTGAGAAGGCAAGAGATCCTGGTAGCGTAATGTCTACCCACCTGCTGATAAGCAGGGATGCGGTGTTCGAGTCCCGTCGCCGCCGACTTTGCCAAATATCCAGGCATCTTGTGATATAATGCGTTCATTCTATCAAAATACTCCCCCGGTTGTGCCTGAATCGCGGATCTTACTAGAGCGCAACAATAGTCCGCTTACTGAAGAAAAACCAGAAACTCACCACTGAAAAGTTTCAACAGGGTGTTCTCTTTTTATTTCGTTTCATTTCCTGTCTTGTAAGCGGAGCTATACCATGATTAGGTGCTCACCACCGAAATTAGAAGCTTCACAACTACGAAATAGTAGAAAATAGAACAATAAGCCATAACAGTTAATATAACAAAAATGAGAAGAACATGTAGACAATCCATATCAATAAACATTTTCAAGAATACGTTATATGGAGAAAGTGTCCAAAAATACGTATAGAGAAAAGCGCTTCTGCAACTGAAAGCGGAAGTTACGCACCGCTCTGGCTACAAACGATCCCACTCACGTTGAGTACGTGGTGGTAATATTCAGAGCTGAACATACGAAGTGTGTGCTTGCATGTACTCGTCAAGTGAATGGCAGACGCGCAGTTACTAAGAACCGCTTTCGATATGAATTCAGATATACCACGATCCGCCGAAAACGTACCGTCAGGAGCACCATCACAGACAACAAGATCAGCTAACGTTCCAAAAACGTCAATTATTCGCTTGGCTGTGTAATTCTGCAACAACAATTTATTTATTTATTTATCCATGGACACGCATAGATGCATGTAACTTGAGAAGGTAAAACAAACAAACGAACATACAAACAACCAAACTGAACACCAAACAAACTAGTAAAACCATGGGAGAGAAACAATCAAACTACATTTAAGCTAATTCTATGGCCCATTATTAAATTTCATATTTCGATCCAGCTTGAAACTTGAAGTGGCAGAACTCACGTCAGTTATATCACCCTGGATTTGAATCACGCCGTTGATTGGTGACATCGGTTGGAGATCAACTGCAACGATTTTCACGTCATCCGTGTCTTTCCCGTTTTCGAAGAGCCGCTTCGAAAGCACCTGAAAGAAGGCAGAAATCCAATTCTTTCATTCAACCCGATGAATCGGCGTTTTCTGTTTCCTTTAGATTGTGACGCAGTTCGCGGCAGGGGGGTGGGACATGCTAGCACTTTCGCTTTTCACTTCCCACTGTCGTATAGAGCCATTAAGCAGAGATTTGTGAAATTCTGTGAAATCTGTGAAATGTAACCTACCAAAGTTTAAAGAAATTTCTTGTCTACTATTGTGAAGAATGCCTGTCAATTCTTGTAAAGCAGTGAACACGACAATGCGGAAGCATCCGAGAGTGCAATATCCCGCCCCCTTCGCCGAATCCGCGCCAACTGTTGTTGAGGGGCATCACAAGGGTGCTGATCAAGCTTGAAACTGATCAGAAATTGAAGATATTAACCGGGTATAGGTTTGTTAGTAGAAAACCAGCTGATTATCAGTTGCGCTCGCTCTGACAGTTGCAAGAGGGTAAATTCAATACTAAGGTTCAGTCGGAAAAAACGAAACCTTCGAGACCGCCAATGGATAAAGCTGAGTATTACCAAGGCCATAAAAAAACTTCAAATGGAATATATCGAGCCATCTGAGCGCTTCACATACACATTCCGCGATCAAAAATGAAGAATAGTGGGGCTGAAGTTCAGATGCAAGGACTCATTGAGGTCTAGTAATGGAGAAAACTTTGGAAATGTCTAGCATAGGATGGCAAGTGCCAAATGCGAGTTTGGACGAGACGAGGAGAGAGTGCTTGGACTAGCTATGGATTAAAGGTGTCATAAGGATATCAGCTCTTTCAGCTTATCCTCTCTTCTCACTATTCGTAATTGAACTTAAATAGATGTGAATAATGACCCATCAAGGTAGCAGACAACAATGAAATTTGGGGCGGCATGGACAGCGGCGCGGTAAGTGCTCGCTATATCCAGTATCCAGTGGTTGTCAAACAACTCGAAAGTGATACCATTCTCTGTGCCTGCAGACAGAAAGCTTATTCAATGAAGACATCTACAGACCTACGTGAACGCGGGATGCTTCCAGGAAACTATTTTCTTGAGCTATGCAACACTTAGAACAACAAAAGAAAGACAGTTCTGCCGCACGCTGAACTCCATGCTGCCTGAGGCAGACAATAAATCAACTGCTTTGGTGTACGACCGTGCAAAGGATGACGATAGAATCAAGAAATACACATATCCCACCATTGTGTTATGACCGTCAACATTCTTTTCCAAGAGTAAATATAATAAAGAAATATCATGAGGCAATTATATTTCAAAAAAGCTCTGTCGCCGTTCTGGAGATTCCTCCCTATAACTTACCGTTTACCTCTTCCATAAGGTACAGTTGTACGAGTAACAATCAAATCTGTCATAATTATTTTAAAAAAAACCTTTGTACCCAATTCCCACAAGCATGAGAAGAGCATACTAGGTGCTTCTGCTTACACCACAAGGAATGAATGCAGGGCTAATGCCGTTTGGACTCCAGAAATTTCGTCTTCCGAGCTCATTTTAAAAGTGGCAAGATCACCAAATCCGCTAAAAACTTGTATATAGGGTAATTCAACATCCTGATCACGAATATGACATTCATTTTTGGCGCTGGCGCTAATGGATGACACTTACGATTACCTGCGCTCTGCTAAAGCTGAGCCCAAGAGGTAATCGTAAGTGTCCTCTCTTGGCGCCAGCGCCAAGAATGAGTGTCCTACTCGTAATCAGCCATACTTCAACTTATACCATTTTCAGAGCAAATTTCGAAGAGCTTGGAACGCTTCTTCGAAGTGGGCTCAACAAGCTTGGATCGACTTAACCTCTTTTCTCACCACAAGGGTTCCGAGGATTTTTTCATTGCTAGCCACTTCCAATGGAGGGAAACAAGAAAGTGGCACAAATGAAAGAGAGAAAAACAAGGAAGGAGAGGGGCTAGTGGTTCAACAGATGTCTTTGAACCTTGATTGTACTCCGAGAGCAAATTGAAGGTCACCAAAAAGGCAAGATGAGAAATATAGCATCGCAAGAAAGCCTTATACTATTGAATTCCCTCAAGAAATCCAGTCAAGATAGTAAACTATTGATCTAGAAATGATCCAGAGCGTGGATATCCCGAGAAAATGTATTACAGAAGAATGCCTGTGAAATCGCATCGAAGCGTGTGCAACAATATAATTTACCTTCAAGAATTCCGAACTCATCATTTATCTGTAACAGTTTAAAAGCACTTCTCGCTCTCCATCCCTGCTCTTTAGCCATACGATAGTAGATGTCTCGCTGATCTTTCGAGATTTTACCCATGATCTGCAAGAATAGCAAATATAATACGACCTTAAGAAAATGAAGCATTGCTTACTATGACCAGCTGTTCAAATAAATGGCGAACACTCTCAAAAGGAAACTATACGAGAAAGCAAACGACGAAGTGCGTCAAACGCAATGTCTCGTTTGCAACTGCGGACCACATCTTTTAACACACGCTTGAAAAGATAGTAGGTTGGAAAATCGAAAAAACTCCTCGACGAGTTGCGACATGTTGCGACTTTTGTTCCGACTTTTTATTCTTGATTTATTGAGTGGTATATTGCCTGGTTTTTTTTCACATTCGTCAGTTTCTGTTAGAGCATTATGTCACAAGCAATTGCCTTCTCAAAATTTTACGGCATTTGGAGGATGCTTGCCTATTCGTTTTTCTCGTCCATTTTGATTTGAGTCAGCAGTGTATATTTTATTTTGCAGATTTCTGAAAAAATCCGGCTGTCGGATTTGTTCTAGTATGCTATGTGCAGAAAGGGTAATCATTGTCTTTTCTTATTTCTACGATTTCCTCATTCTTCATTTTATTTGCACTTTGAATATGCAGCAATTATTCAGGGCAATTCTCCTTCCCATGATTCGCAGCGGTCAGGGAAACGAAAAGCTTCAGATGATTTCCTAGCAACGATGGATAAGCGGTGTTTAGTGAGAGACTTTGCATGTATCCTATGCCAGCGGATATGTAATATTCCCGTTGCAACCACGGTTTGTATCCATATGTTCTACCTTTGATGTTTTTTTTCAAGTTTTCATAACTCCAGGACGAAACAAACTTTTTACTCTTTCGTGATGGTTTTCCTACCCAAATCTTTTTTTTCCCAGATTGTTCCTTTCAACTTTACTTTAGCTCCGATGCCTTTTATTTCAGGTATGTATGCATAGGTTTTGTGAGAGTTGTATGAGTCCTCGAATAGCAGCTGGTAATCTGAGATGTCCCCGGTGCAATATGCAACTTGATCAAAACCAGCCTGTTTGTTATGATTCGAATTTCCAAGATATTATAACCAAGGTAAGTGTTTCCTAGACCTTCATTCGTTTTGAATGTAAATTTGACAGTCGGAAAATTTACACTATTCCACTATTACTACCCCAATCTTTCGAGGCCGAAGCCATTGTTTTTTCTACGGTGGCACATTTGGCTGTTACTTTGTTCCCAGGTGTAGTTTGACCTTCTAGACCCGAACATTCCTCCCACTTGGCCTGAAACCGCCTGACGTCCGCGCCATAATCGCCGGTGCCAAATTACCCTAAATCACCAAATTAGCTGAAAACTTGGCCTTAGGGGATTTGACCTCCAAAACGTGAATATCACATCTGCGTAGGATGCAAGTGGAGATAAGGATCTGTTCTGCTCGTCTGCACCCGTCCCCCGAGATGGTGATCCCTTCCTATGATAAGCTGATCCCTGGCAAGGAGAAGTATCAGTATTACAGGCAACCAAGGGGCACTGCTTTGTCTTCTCTGACTGCCCTAGCCCACCGCTTGACACGAAACAGCCAGAAGTCCACGCCACACGCGCCGGGATAAAACAGGCATTTGCCGTCGTCTGTAAACGGGCGATTGGCGATATCATGCCAAACGAGTGTCATATTCGTGAACAGAACACCCATACACCCTGCATGCAAGAACACAGTGATTTCCGTGGGAAAAGTGGTGGCCCAACTTGGCGTCAGCGCCGAAAACCTATGTGATAATCAAGATTAGAGCCCGAATCACTCTTATGGATAGGGATTCAGCAAAAAATTAGGTTTTCTAAGTTTCCACAGTAGGTATTAGTTGAATAGCGCCGAAATGTCGAATAAAACCCCATAAATTTCAATAGAGACATTATTGGCGTCTTCCCCTTTGTTCTCACTACTTATGCATTTCATGCAGTTTTTTTCTATTGAAAATGCGATGAAAGCAGTTCAGTTGATGTATAACCTGTCTGTGTTCAGATAGATTTTGACTTGAATACTGTTCATGATTTGTTAACCAGAAAACCTCATTCCGCTTGTGAGTTTTCGAGTATTAGTGAGTTTTCCTTATTATTAGATCTTTAGCTATTTTTCAATGGGTACTAAGTGCTCCTGAGGTTTTTCCTATATTTAGCTAGTGATGAAGAGTACATGGATATGTGTGATGTGTCTGAGGAGCGTCGCAAAATTATACGAAAGAAATTGGCACCTCAAAGTAGGATACATCCGCTAGCGGCTGAACATGGTGAGCTGCATCAATTTATTTCTTCAAATTTGTTTTGACTAGTTGGATACCGTGTGCATTGGCGTAAATGCATGTTTTTGAGCAAACTTTTCCTTGTTAATCACCCGTATACAGATTGTTTCAGTTGAAAATGTGTTGGTTAATTCATTTTTACCTGACTTCTTTGGCTTGGTGGGGGTGTTGCTAGTTCCGCTGCTTTCTGTGGAGACCTGTTAACTCCTATGATGCTGTGCAGTTCGAATTGGCAAGAGTCTACGGCTCATTCCACGGTGTGAAGTGTAATTCAACAGGAACTAGGGGAACTGCAACATGCCCCTCCCAAGCCGAACAGCGGTCGTTTTTGTTGACATGAATGCGTCTTTTTCTAACCTTCGTCGTATGTGTATTTTAGTTTTAGTTTTAGTCGTGTGTGTTACATTTTCTGTTCTTCTCCTGTCCTGTTGCGTGGGAAGCTCACATCAGAACGGAGTAATGAAGTAGTTAATGACGTGTGCTGGATAATCCAGTATTAGTAGCCCTGCTTAGTGTTTTTATATCTGCTCTCCCACGGATTTCTCTCGCTTATTATGATGTCAACTGTTGTGATTAAATGCACGCCCCACTTTTAAAAATGTTGGGTTGTGCGGCTCAAAAAAACAAGGACAAGATGGTAAGCGATGCAAGAGTAAAAGAGAAAGCAGAAAGACTCGGTCTGAAATGCCCCTATAGAACCCCACGCTGAACGGCGCTTTTACGTGCATAGGGGGTAGAAAGGACGTGGTCGGAGGAACTCTCACTTGTCGCTGCCTCCTCCTTCTCCTTAACCTCACTGTCACCTTCAAAGTGAAGATAGTCAGGAGCGGAGGTTGGATGGGACGTCGCTGTGGTCAGGAACAGGACATGGTTCCATCGCGAGCGGGTCGCTTTCCTCACGTATTTTTGGGCTTAGAGATTAGTACATCCTTCATGCTTGCAGGCAGGGCTACCGTGTCCGAAGGGGCGCCTGGACATCAATTGAACGCGGGGCTTTCTTTCAATAACAGCAATTAGTGGAATAGTAGATATTCAGTGATTAATCAGAGCATCGCTTTCAATAAGCTGGGCGCACATCAAATAAGCCTGCCATTTGTGACGGAAACGGCAAATAATTAAATCGAGGGCGTGCTTAGGGCATCCGCTGGAGTGGGAAGTTGGCTGTCTGTGTGTCCAAGGGGACCGTAGTTCTGAAGCAAATGCCTGGCAAAGGGGCAAGGGGCCACAAGGACGCTGATTTTAATTTGTGAGCTATCGGAGAACTCTGTGTGGAGGTGTTCCAGGACTGTCCTCTTCTGTAGCGTGTATTTTAAAGTGGTATTTGTTGCACTTACGCCAAGTCAGGGCTGATGGAGCGTTTTGATTTCCCAAAAAGCTTCAGGATCTCGAGCCGCTTCATTTCTAATCCTCAGTTTTCATGGAGTGGTTGGAACTTGTTGAGTTGAAGGGACAGATCTTTCTTCACTTCCGCCTGCAGCTGATTACAGTAGGGCTCTCCGGTAACCATATCGTTTTGAGAAGGAAATTGACTGCAATAAGCTCCAAGAACGCTTCATCCCATGCATCACATAATATTTATACGCGACTTAATTATGTTATCGTCAGTATTCGGAGTGAGTCTGGTACTTTACCGTATTCTGTAACCGCCGTCATCCCTTAACCTTTGTGCTCTGAAAGTCTTGTTATCATAATAAATTCGAATTTAAACAGCCATTTCGAGTTATTACGATGTTATTATAACCCCTCTCGATTAAGCATTTCAGCGTTTTACTGGGATCGGAAAGTTCCAAGGAAGTAATGCGTTAGTGCAGCGATACTTGAAGAAGATGGGATTACCTCATCATGATCCTCCTCTTCCTTTGCCGAAAATTCCCGAACATGATGGTGGTGAAATAGAAGAGAGGCGGCCGTTTCGAATTTACGGCAATCTAATCAATCACGTAAGTATACGGTTTGGAAGCACCATTTCGCCCAGTTCATACTGTGAATCTCTTGAAGTCGTCCTACCTCCTCTTCGCGTGATGAAGCGGATCGCGAGCCACGGTGCTAGTGAGCTTATTCATGATGCTTGTAGTACAGTGTTTCGCATGGCAAGTGTCATCGCATGCATAATCTCCCTTTTTTCTTTTCATGTGTTTCTGCCTTCGTACTTTCGCTTTTAACTTGGTTTTCTTGAACTAGAGTTGACTGTTGATGTTGATGCATCGCTCGACAATACGATTTTCAGTGCAACAAAGATCATGTTTGGCCAACGATCGAGAAGAAAGAACCCAACAGATTTGGTATTACTGCCGAATACAGAAAAAGTCTGTTGAAAATGCGTCGTATGTTTCGATCGAAACCGCGAGCTGCTGAAAGTTCTGTGAGTGAGTGTACAGAAATAGAATCTGGAGATGAGAAACCTGCAACGAGCGATGGAAAATCCAAACATGATCCATTGGAGAAAGTTGAGGCTGAGGTGAATTTTCACGTTCTTGTGTTTCTTGTGTGATCGATCCCTCGACTCGCCAACCCTGGTTTCAGGTGGATGTATTTCTGGAAAAGGAGGCGAATGGCGAGTCGTCGAGTAATGGGTCGCTAGATTCAGAGGATGTCACCGATATGATCTGCGTGAGTTATTTTATCATCCAAATTTTCTATGCTCTGTTATCTCATTGATTCAAGTTTGCTTTTACATATTATATTACTTCGAATTTTTTACTCGCCTGAATTATACCTCCATCTTCGCTCACTGTCTAATTCTTGTCTATTTTAAGCATTGATTGAATGCAATTGACATCCTTGCAATGAGTGGGGCGGTGTCAAGGGGCATGGAATAAGGCCAACCATGGCGTTTTTGCCACTGGTTCTTTTCTTCCTATATCGATCAATAACCGATCTTTATTGCTAGAAGAAACCGGGACCGGGCCGGGTCTCCGCCACATCTGACACCGCCCCAACTGATTGCGGTGATATCAGCTGTACGTGTTCAATGTGTGGTAGGTTCTCTACTGCCAGCTCATTTTCGTTACATCCAAAGCTATTTTTCATACAAGAATGTAGCTGTCATCATGAACTGTGGTTCACCGCTGCCGTGACGATGCTAATGTTTCATTGAAACCTAGACAGGACTGAAACCTGCAGCTCTTGCTCAGTGGGGTAGTGCACTAGCCACCAATCACCAGAATCCCTTTGGGCCTCTTCACTAAACGGTTTCTTCATACCTATTCAATGAGCGTCATAGGCGAAGAGCAGGGTAGCTGGCATAAGTGTGAGGAATTAGTGCGGCACTGGTAAAGATCGCTTGAGCGTGCTGTCCAGCTTCCAATCGTGGCTGGGCTAAGTTTTTTGGCTCTAACTCATTATCACTGTAGTGACCTGAAGCTTTCAATTTAGTTCGCATAAGTTCTGCTAGAGTTTCTTCTATTGCCGTTGCTTTAATGGGCAACGCATTTATAGTTTCATTGTTATTACTAGAACTTATCCCCTTAGTCTCTAGGAGATGTGGCTCAAGTATTTTACACTTTGTCAACCACTCCTAAGCGGTTTCAATGGAATTTTATGTGTAAAAGTTTTACCGTGCTAGCATAAGATTGTTTTGGATATGATCTGAAGGTTTCTAATATCCTTTCTTAAGGGCGCGTTCTTTCACTGCAAAAATTTTTCTCAAATACGACCCCACACCAGATTTTCCCTACCGGTACTACCCTCTTTTACCACCCTTCTTACCGTCGTTCTAACTTTTCCAGAAGTTCTTCACTTTTTCCAAGAAAGTGGTCAGCCAAGGGGGATGGAGTCGAGGAATAGTCACCAGCCGGAAAAAACGTTGTGGATAGGCGGTTGTAACAGAAACGCCAGCTATCGAAGAATGTTCTCAGGCCAAATCCCCAATGCGATCCTCATCTCTCCAGCGGCCAAATACGACCTCAGAGTAGGACGTGCTTTGCCTATCAATTATAATTCTTTCTGATTATTGGTAAGTCATGCCCCTCTTAGTTACACGTTCTCAAAAATTTATCTCACGACTGAAGTTTAGCTTGTTTCTGAGGGCATGCTTGTTTTAGCTTTCTCAAAGTAATCGTAGCTCTTGATAATTTAACAAATTTTTCCATGTGATTAAGCAATTTTTGCATACTCGCAGTTACAGTATAGCCAAGTTCACCAAGGTCACCTATGTTTCATTTCAGGAACGCCACCATTTGTTTCTCAATCGACAAGCGACCCAAATCGTGGAAGTAGTGTTACGAATGTTAACCCGAAACTCTTTTCTCGTATCATCTCCCGCCGGGAGCTGACGTCGTTTTCTTTGTTTGTGGATGAGGTGCCATCTGTCGCTTCATCTGCACGTTTGTTTTTACATGCGGATCAACAGTCTGTACCCGAAAACTGAGCGACGGGTAAGTCAGCCATTATTTACTACTTATATTAAGCTCAGGTAAAATATTAGTTTTTTTTGTTTTTTTTTCTTAATATTTTTTCAATAACAAATCAGACTAATGGCGGACTAATTTTTCATTTAGTTCCAGGGAGATACCTACACGAGGTTAAAACCAGGTCCAATTCATTGTGAATATTGCAGGTATCAGTACTCATCAGTAGCATCCTGTGGGAATGTAAGGCGGCTCGTTTGGCTGTGTTGCAGTGCACTCGTCCGGTGAGTATCATACAAAATTAGCTTACCATTAGTTTCCAACTTTTTCGCATGAGAGAATTCAATTCAGGGCAAGCGGACGCCACATGTGTCTCCAGTGAAAGGTTGATTAATGTTTCTAATTTGTGATTCTATTTTTTCTTCTGTACATCCTTGTCTTGCTTGTTTGAGGTTATTGGTTTCAGAGGGCATTGATGTACCCGAGATAAAAGCACTTGGAAATAGTACTGCCTACTCGTATCTGGCCACAAGAATGAGTGAGGTACAATATAGCTACAAGCGTTTCCCGTAGAAAAGCTGGATAGCGGTTTGACGCTGTCAGAGGTGAGCCTTAAATTGGACGGATTTTCCTTTCAGTGCTTTTTTCCTTTCTGGATTCTGGCTGAGTTCGCGGGAACTGATTTATGCCGTAACGATCCATCCGTCCAAGTAAGTCTGCTCACCTGTTTGAAATCAACCTATTTTTCGCTTGAACTTCCTCCTAATTTTCGTTCTTTTACTTATCATACTTATTTTGCAAGTGTTGATCGATGCGAACTCCTACGTTATTTGTTAATTTTTCATTATTTTTCTGTCTGTCCCGTGCTCGTGATACTTGCGCCATGCCACTCACCAGGTTGAAACTTATCGTAATAATTCCACCTCTTGTTACGTGAAGGCTATGCGGAACGTTAATTGGCCCGTTGGCTATTGATGCACTGTTCTATACTCTCCAGACGCGGCGCTTCTCCTCAATTGGAGGAATAAGCTATAAGGGAGCTAACTAAATCTGAATTTCATATCGCATGGGGTTTTAGAAGTGCTAATGTATCGTGTTAGATCTAGGAGATTTGTCGAGAAACGGCTTTCTGCAGGCATGCACAGAATAAGCTCAAATCAGGAAAGCTGTCATAGAAGCATTAGTTGTATTGTTATGATAACTGCTGTTTTACGCCGCAGTTCATGTTTCGAAAGTAACGGATAGCGCACTCGCTCGGAAAACATGGTGCCGCTTCGACTCCTTGCTGGGGTATTGACTTTTGCCCATACCAGGCATTCTTGTTGTAAAAAGTTTTTTCGGTGTGTGAAATGATCTCCCAGGGATCGATGCTCGCTGCAGTGTGCTGAAAGGATGTGGGTGCAAAGAGTGACATTTTGATGGGGAGTTTCGGCGAATGACCTTTTTCTGTACATTGCCAGGAATATGCTTGAATGCAGCGACATATTTCGAGTTCGATGTAGTCGTGCCTATTCGCGTTAGGTAGAGAGTCTATCAATCTGTGGAGTCTCTGGTTTGACATTGCTTTTTTTGGTTGCCATTCCCTCATTTTTAGAAGTGAAGCCATCTATCAATCAGAGTGCAGAATTGTTTAGCCAGTTATTCTTAAAGGCAGTTGGCACGATGGTTTCCTACTTACATTAGCCTAAATGCTAGGGCGCTGTATAGTGGGGAAATGGCGAAAGAACGGAGTGAAACGGTCAAAATCCTGCGAAGAAAGCCTCCGTTCTCAATGTGTTAAAAATCAATTTTGGACGAGTTTCCTGTAGGCATCTTGACCATAAAACTACCCGAAGATATATGCTGCATATATGTACATTTATGCATGCAGTATGCACGGCCGCTTCATACATCTTTGGCTTCATAATTTGGCCTACGAAACGAATGGATTAAGCGTCCAGAGCGGGTTTCCTTTTTGGGCGGGCGGGGGCGTTGGACGTAAGTTTTTGGCTTGATAGGCCTCCTTATAAGGCACCTTCCTCGGGGAAAGCGCTATGCAGCGCCTGCAGGTCGCGGAATTCTATGCTGCCGGGAGGATTGATCCTAGTCGTCTTGGGGATTTATCGTAACTGCTTTAAAATTAGAAAACTTTGAAGTAGCTGATCTGAACTAATATAGTTTAAGTAATTTAGGTTTGTTCGAAAGTCTGCGATACTTTGACAATTTTTTGGACTAAATTTTCAAGCCACTGAAAGACATCTCCAATCTATGAGGTAATCATCACTAGGGACTAGACTAGTGCCCTTCTTTTGCACAGCTTCTCATTTCAATTCTTATAGAACTACGGCAACTATGATAAGAAGAAGAGGTGGACCTCATTTTTGAGTAGACGTCGATTTTCGGAATTTTTGCCTTCTTAAGGATGCGGTAGGGATCAAAAAAGGTAGTAGTTAGAGACTGCTAACTTTGATGAATAAGCTGGGTATGGTCGCATTCTCAGATCAAGATCCACGATCTTTTGGTGTGGCCTGATCCTAACATGCGGTCTTCGCATTGCCGAGCGGTAGAGAAAAATTGAGTATTTTTGAAGAATTCAAGCGTGACGTCATCCATGTTGTGAGGTTGGTTAGAGTGGATGTAGTCCTTACCGTTATGCTAGTATCCAGAGATACCGCTTTGAAGTCCCATCAGCTTTACTAAAATCTTTATCGGCATGCACATTGCTTTTTGGCTTGTGCAATCTATTTCTGTTGAGAGATGCCTGCGAGGCATGTCAAGATGTACGCAAGAACCCACTCTTACCAGCACAGATCTCCAATGTTCCTCCAATGTGTACAGGAAAAAACTAGTCGGTCATTCGGTATGACTTGTCAGAGGGGTTCAACTCATGAGGCATCCTTCATAAAAAATTTTTTTCCGATAACCGAGACTGCGGAGAAGCATGGCAGTTGTCAGTTAGGTGGAGCCTAGAGAGGTTGCCAACTTACTGGTGGTTACGTTCGGCTGCGCCTCAAGAAGCTTGAGTAAAGGGCCGTCATTCTGTGCTGGTGGCCGACCTATACATTGCCTACTTCCGAGTTGAATAAGTCCAGCCTGGAAGCGCTGATGCAAAAGGAACTCTCTGCTATGGCAAGCGATATCCTTCCTCAAGACAACGTAAGTGTTAGCTTCCTCGACTATGGCGGAGTTGCCCTACAGGAACTCATAATATGGGATAGGTCGAGAAGTACCTCGATCTCTGAGGTATTTTTAAGCTTTGAAAACTTCCACGGAGCCATGATATACCCATTTTCAGAAACCCAGGAGACAGTCTCCACTAATCAGAGATAAAAACATTCAAAATGATTTTTGGTCTTTTTCTAGAATAGTTCAACAAAGTGTCGCAGGACTTTTCGAACAACGTAATATAGTAATACGTTTCCGATGTGAAACGCGAACTGGTCAGAGTTGAATTTTGGTTTTTTGCACTCTGATCTTTATAGAATGAAAGAGCCTTTGCTGAAACAGGACACCTACACGGCAATCACCAGTGGGGGTCGTATAGGTTCGCGAGGAAGAGGTGGTATTCGTACAAGAATTTCCGGGCGTGGAGAAATTTTTTTTTTTACGTTGGCTGCTGGCTTTTGCGGTAGAAGCGCCCCTTCCTCACTGTTACACGGCGAAATTTTGTAAAAAATTTGAAAAACAGGATGGGAGATAGGAAAGGTCAGTAGGATGGGGAGGGGGGGATCGTGTGAGTACAGGACATCTGGGGGCGTTGTATTTTGCGACACGATATGTCCTGGATGTAAAATGTGATAGGTACGCGCGTATTCTTATTTCTTGGGCTCTCTCACATATCTATTCTATGATTTTTTTGAATTCCTTCGCTTAGGTTGTACTTTATTCTTTAGAAATCATGGAAAACACGTGCCTATCCGTCTTTTCATGTCTAACTGTAAGCATAGCAAACGTAACTGCCCTTGTAGGGTTTTACTTTGAATTACGTTCCTTCAGCCTCATTCGCTGCGGATGATGGGGCGTGAGGGAGATGGTCTGAGTGGCATCAGCCCAGTGTTCTCTTTTTTCTTTTCTTTGGACAGCGAACAAGATTGCAATATCGTTCGTATATATGTTTTATCAACACGATTGTTAGTGGCTTGCTCTTTTCATGCCAACTGGTGGAAATGGGGGCTTGGCGCCCAAATTCCGCTCACTGACACGCCCCATCATCCGCAACGAAAAGATTGTACTTTTTTCAACATATGCTTTTAAAATATTGATTTCAGATCTGTGATATAGAGCGGAAGTCGTTTGTCTCTTTGTTATATACAGTAGCACCGTTATCAGCAGGATCTGCTTAGTAATAGATTTGTTATGGTGGTGAGTGGCTTCATTGCCTTGTTCTGATGATTCGCTTAACGCCATCTCCTCAGTCGTACTCCTCAGCATTTCACTATTTTTCTATGTTTACCAGTCAGTCAGCTTTTCTCCGTTGCATTTTATTGCCTTCCCCATTGTTATGATTGTTCTGTCTCATTATTTGTCGCTTTAAAATGATAGCTGTCTCAGTCTCGAATGATGAGGGTCCGTTGGTTCTTTGGTTGTTGATTGTCGATTGGTAGATACAGCGTTGGTTTGGTTTTCGCTTAGTGATGTTCGAAATTTCGATATAAAAAAACGTCTGGTGTATCATTATATATAATGCATAGTTATTAGATCTTGTATTCCTGTAGAATTTTTGAGTCAGCTTATAGAGTATTAAGTTTAATCTACGTCTAGCTAATCGTGGTAAAAGGTCTACTGAATACTGATACTGAATTGCCATCACTTACAATTGATGATTACAAATGATGTGCTGATATTTGTGAATATTTGATGATAGACAAGCTAGAATAAAGTCTGTAAGACTAAAGTCTTTCGAAAGCACAGTTTATATCCGTTAATTTGGGAGAATGAGTTAGGGG